GCAAAAATCTCTTTGTAAAAAAAATGTCTCAGTCTAGCTTGTCATTTTCAGTTAAAGGGAGTCTGGCTCATCTATAGCCACGGACTGAAAGACAGTTCCTCTATTGCTGTTGCTGGGAAGTATTTTTATAGGTTTGACCAACAAAACACATTTCTTTTAATAATCTGGCCATGGTACTCATGTAATTCAATGTGCATTCAATACATGGAAAAAGTTCTATCTATCTTGGCAGATAAATAAAATTCGATTTAGTTAAGTGGGTTAAAAATACATTCATAGAATTGGTCACAACGTCACCATATCCATATTCTTCAGCAATTTGGGTACATCCTGACCTGGCATGGCTTTACCGGGAACCCTTTGGATTTAGCTAAAGGTTTACATAGATCTTATATCAGCTGTGGCCAACTTTTTAAGTTTAGGGAGCCTTATATGCAGCCCCTGCCATCACTAAAAGTCTGCATATAATATTCAGTGAATGTAATGCTACAGAAAGTTGACTGCAGACATGCAACAGGAGATTTCTGGGATTGCAAACGTGGTATAGGGGTTGTTGGAGACTGGGGTCATGATTCACGAGACAGTCATAGGCTGGAGGTAAATTATATCACAGATCACAGCTATTACAGCCCCTTTACAAAGGCAATGCTTCCACATTTGTGCTCCCTACATCCCCATTTGAAGGGTAATTTGACTTTCTCATGCAAATTTGAGAAAATGGAATTGCCGCCACAAATCTGCCCCCTCTCCCCCCTTGCTGCTGCACTTACCTTTAATCGAACGCTCTCCTCCCTCTGTGGCTGCAGGTGTACTATCCATACTCGGTATAAAGAAGTGCAGACCAGCACTCACTATTTCAAATTTCAGTCGCAAATGGTGAGCACTCATTGGTCAGCACTGTCCCCTGACAATGCTGACCAACGATAAGCTCTTCTGACCGCACTAAACAATAAGAAGTGATTTTTGCTAAGTAAGTGCTCGCCATTTGTGAGCTAAATTTGAAATACCAAGCGCAGTGCTGGTAAGGAGTAGGGATAGTTTACTGGCAGCCACAGAGGGGAAGGAGTGTTTGGTTAAAGGTAAGAGCAGTGGGGAGAGGGGGCAGATTGGGGGCAGTAATTCCATTTTCCCAAATCCATCTGGGAAAGTGGAATTACCCTCTAAAATGATTTGTGCCACATCTGATATTTCTCTCAGCTAAATTCCCTATAAAAGGATCTGAGGAAAAAAAGAATATAAAAAAGAATAAGGATGGGCAGAATAAGTATAAAGTAAGAAAATATTAAACAAATAAACTGGTTTGCGTAAGCACCTAGGTAAGGAAAAACAGAGACTACTGGCTACAGGGGCCCTGGCCCCTGAGCACAAACCAGCAATTGCCTAAGGGCCAAATGCAGCCATCATCCAGTGTCTATGGAGCAGCATGTGATAACTTCAAATGAGTGTTACCTAAGAACAAACAATCAGACAAGTTCCCAAGTACTATCAGATGCCCACCACGGGGTATGGCTGTTTGTGTCAAGTTCCGTTTCATCCCCTAAACAGGAGCATTTGCACAACTAATGTTCCTGTTTAAGGAAGAAACTGACCCAGAAGTCAACGGGTTCAATTTGTTAAAGCGGATCTTTACCCCCTTTTACTAAAAACCACATCGGCATGCAACTCTGCATGCTGATATGAAATCATCTTACATTCAATTATTAAACAAACAAATTTTTATTTTACTTACAATTTCTTTTTTTTTCTACTTCCTGGTCCACTGCGGTACAAATGATGTAATCTGTGCCCAAGCATTGCATCCTGGGAAGATTACATCAGCAGAGCATTGCTGGTAAATCTCATGAGTAATCTCATGAGATCTCAGGGATAGGCATTTTCCTCCCCTGAGATGATGTGCACGGTCACATGTCCTAGCCACATGAGCCAGAGTTCCAGGAAGTAAAGGGAGTTGGACTAATTTGCCCTTAGTAAAAATGTGAGAAGAACGGGGAGGAAAAAAACATAAGGTATGCAAAGAATAAAAAGCTGCCAATTATGTATTAGTATCTATTTGTAGATTGTCATTACTAAACATTTCTAAAGGTGCCTTTGCTTTTTATTTTAACCACTTGAAGTCCGGGGTGTTAAACCCCCTTCCCATCCAGGCCATTTTTCAGTATTCAGCGCTGCGGTACTTTGACTGACATTTATTCCGTCATGTAAGACTGTACTGAAATTAATGTATAGCTCAGGCACACTGACAGGTCCTCTTTATGGAGACATTAGGGGTCATGTCACCTGGGGACCCCAAAAGAAGCTGATGATCTGCTTCATCAGCTTCTTCTTTCTGGCTATAGCAGCCAGATGACTGACAGGTGAATGCGGAAGTGATGTAATACACATCACCTCTGTTTAAAATGGAAAAAAATGCCGTCTGGTGACGGCAACCCGCTGATGCGAGTCAGCCGTCCGTCCATTTTTTTTTCTACGGGCGGACGGCAAATGGTTAAAGATATAGGTAAAGTTTCTCTTTAAGATGGATAAGTTATATGTATTATATCTCATGATTATTTTCTGCTAAAAATGTTCAGTTCAAGTCCTGCAATCCTTTTCAGCATGAAATGAACATTTAGCTGGTGAAAGAGGGACGCACAGATACCAAGTACAGTACTCGGGAACAAGTAAAGATACTTTAAAACAATACAGACTTATGATTTTAGGACAGTGGTGGAGCGCCAGGACCCAGTTTCAGCTGCAACCGCTGCAACCCTGGTAGTTCTCATGAAAATGCCAAGTATCTGCACTGGTATCTGAACTGGTATGTGTATCCCTAGCTGAAAGCATTATGGTCTCATAAATCATGATTTTATCTCACAAGATGGTATTTTATCACCACCTAAAAGAGCTCCTCTTCTTGCTCTACTCCATTGACCATTATTGAAACTCATAGTTTTTACCACCATGAAACTGGTGTTTAAGGAGTGATAACCTGTGTGGTAATCTTTGTGAATTTATTTTTACATTGATTTTTTTTTTTTATCGCATGGTCAGTGTGATAATAGCACTAATAGTGGTAAAACAACACTACTTAAAGATTCCCTGTGACAAAAAATACGATTAAAACCTTTTGTTACTTGCAAAAGAAGGTAGTAAATATCTGGCTTAACTGGAGTCTATGCAAACGAACACTGCTCCCATTCCCATTTGTTCCCATTGTGTGTTAATTTCGTCGACTAATAATATCCATAGCTTTCGTCAACAACACTTTTTCAGCGAATAAAACTAGACTAGTTCCATCCTGCATGGATGGCTAATAGGTAATATGTGCAACGGCATTACAGCCAATATAGTTTTTCATTTTATTACTTTAGATTTGCTGTTCTGCTTGAAAGAATGAAGAATGTCATATGCAAGTTTTTATAATCAATGCATATCTAATTACTGGTCCTTTGTTAAAAATACTCAATATTATTGTTTCCTTATAAGACTTGGTTTAATCTAATTTTAAGATAAAGACATGTTATATATCACAACAGTTAAATCTGAGTCTGTATTGCATGTTCAAACCTTAATACCATAAGTAATAACAGGTTAACAGATGTTTACTCCAGGAGTATACCATGAGATTGGAAATTCTAGAGAAATGTTTCAAATTACTCTTTAACTAAACCCATTAGATTTTAGTCGACTAAACCTACTGTAGCTTTAGTCGACCAAAACCGTATGATATTTAGTTGACTAAAGGTAGACTAAAACTAAAACAATTCAGATGACTAAAATATGACTAAAACTAAATGGCATTTTAGTCAAAAGACACAGACAAAATCTAAATCAAAATTTGCTGTCAAAATTAACAATTCTAGGAGTGTTGATCTCCTATGTTCCCCATAGCTTTTACCGGTTCTTTTTTCTGATCTAGCGTCACTGTAGACTAAAGTAGTGATGGGAGGTCAGAGGAAGGATCCAGTAAAAGCTACAGGGAACCCAGGAGATCAACACTCCCAGAATTGTCAGCTTCCAGAGGACTTCAGAGAATGGGAACTCATGAACGGAGCAGTGTTCAATCGCATAGACTGGCATAGAGAGTTGCGGGGGACCTGGAAATGGACAAACATTTCTCAGAGATCACAGTACTTCCGCTGACCATGTTTCAATTTCTTTTATTTTCAGAAGGATGGAGCCACCTTTGTTCAGGCAACATCTACTTCCTGGAATGAGATGCTGACTTAGATATAAGACAATCAGACAATAAGGAATATCGCTTGGCAATTGGCATCCTCACATCCTATACAATGTATAGGACGTGATGACTCACAGGACCTTGGACCACCAGAGCA